AATCATGTCTTACACCAAGTAATGTATTAGACTTTAGGTCTAATTGCAGTTATAACTTTATTTCTAGACCCTAGGTCCATCGGCATACAAATTGTAGCCTATATTATAGGCATACTTAGACCTATACTAACTATTACACTAGGCATTGCAGTGGAACAGATCTAATGACTAAGTTAATAGATCTAGATATAATATTTGTTCTAAAAGTTAGGCTTAATAAATCTAAATCTAGAATTGATGAGGTAGGGTTATATCTAGATCTGGGTAGATTTAATACAAGGTGCTTTCAATCTATGCACCCAAATCTAAGGTCTAGTTTAGATGTATAAAGCTAAATTTCTGTCATTATTTTTACATCTAGAGTCAAACCTAAGACTAAAAAGTCTAACTTTTTATATATACACGTAGTAGAGCAGATGATCAACATCTTTTATAATTTTTCTGAAACTTGATTAGTGAAAGCTATTATTTACATACTTCAATTTATCCATTGTCACGCCTACTGTCTGATTTTCAACATTCTCTGGAGCTGACACCAGCATATGTAACCTATCCACCAACAATGGAAATAACAACGGATCCTGGAACACAATTGAACAACAACAACAAACAGATTATCTTTTCAGTCAAGTTGCTGTAAATATTTATGATGGTAACAATATATTACAGACTGTTATAAATCCTACCCACATTTGTCAGTAATTAATTTATTTATTCTATATTTTGATTCACTAAACGATAAGTGACTTAAGATATTTACTTGCACCTTATCACCTGGCGGGCAAAGCGTTGTGTATTAAATTCCTTTGTGTGCTACACTTTCAATATATATATATATCTAAAAATTCAGAATGCCAAACTTCACTACGGCCTGGTTCTGGCATAGCCTGGTAGTTAGGGGACTCGTCTCACAATCTGCATGTCGCGAGATCAAAAGCCGATGACGAACATGATAGCCCTTCCAGCCGTGAGGTCATCATAATATTACGGTGAAAGTCAATCCCTGTATTATTTGATAAATAGTAACCCAAAAGTTGGCGGTGAGTGTTGCCTTTCAATTATTGGTAGTTTAAAAATAAGGACAGCGGTAGATGATAGTCATAGTAGCTTTGCTATAAACAAATAAATAGTAAGGTCACTATAGTCAAAAAGTAGCAAGAGTGAGTTGCTTCGAGGGGCTATACTGTCTTTTCAAGTGGCTGGCTTGCGATAAGTTTATGTTTGTGTAAATGCCCTCTTACTGAAGCCCTATAGAGTGTTAACAATAGTTGGTTTACATTTTAATTTTGATTTGTTCAGTTAAGTTAAATACTGAACATATTAAAAATAGTTAACCTTAGTATCACTAGTTTCAACATATTATGAAAATAATGGCTGATAAAATAACAGACATCGTAGAAAGTTAAGTTCTTCAGACATTTAGCATCTGGATACTAACAATAACGGGCCTGAGGCATTTATATATTTTTTTCTTTTGGAACAGAGATGTAGATAAAGAGAAAGAAGTACAGTTGATTTCTAACACTACCTATACTATCTAAATCTGTTTACGTCGTTGTCCTTTCTGTAATAAAATGGTTAAGTAAAATACTTACAAAAAGTTATGTTTAACAAACCTGTATGAAATGATAACCTCCTCGGATTTGTTTAACAAAGTAACTAAACGAAAATCGCGGTGGAATTGTGACATACAAAAAATTTACCGTATTTTTCGGAATATAAGACGCACCCTTATTTTGAAGACAAAGTTTTTTGGGGGATAAAAGCTACAGTCGCATTTGAAAGCTTTTTATTGAACAAAAATTCAGTTTGATACTTTAAAAATTAGTATATATTGTTCTAAACACAAAAGAGTTCAAAACATCAAAATAAGAAAATACTGTAAATAGAAAAAAAGGTTTACTGTTATTT